TCTACATTCCATACTTTTACTTCCACATGGAATAGAATCAATGCTGTCGAGAGACAGAGGTTATTTTTCAGCGTCGAGAAGAACGTGTGTTGGGAAATTGGCGAAAGCTCATCCGCGGCATACTTCGGCTTCACTACGTCAAGTCCAAGTTTGGAGCGACAAAATCAAAGGTATGATCCAGTTTGCTGTTCAACCGCGGCTTTTTGCCGAAGCTAGCGGTGTTAGTTCTTCAAAACGTTGAGCTGTTATGGGACCCAAAGCGCAAGCTGTAACCATGCACTGTACTAGAGCAGAAAGTCGAGATTCCGATTTTTCCATACCCAATTCAGGAACTTTTTATTTCCGCATAAATGCCAGTGTCATGCAACACAGTCCTGACACAGTAAAAATCTGATAAGCTATCCAAGCTGTAATTTGTGAAATATTGTCAATTTACTTAGGTTTTTGCGGTAAATTTTTTAAGTCACCGGATCGTGTTGTAGTTCCAAATTTTTCGTAGGAGCACACCTTTTTTTTCTCATGTCTCACTCTGTGCTTTCTAGCTTAGCTTTCACTTGTTACGCAGTGCCTCTCGGTCGTCGTAATTGTTATGGGCTGCAGCGCGCTGTCAATTGCCTATTGCTTTGGCAACTTTTGGTAGTGTAGACCCAAGGCGTATGACCGCGTTTATAGCTGCATTGAGCAATGTAATCGTATTTGCTAATCTTCCGAAATCTCATTTGTGTACGAGTCAATATTCAAGTCTTTGGGGGTGAGTAGTAGACCGGATTCCCAGCAACATTCATTGTTTCGATTCACTTTTTTTGTTTGTGTTGTATGTTTACTTAATATGTATATTCAGCCGAAAGGAAAGAAGAAGAAAGGAGTGAAAGAGGAAACTGAAGAAGAAAGTTGCGTCATCGATAGAACCGTTATGGGAGAGCGTCAAGTCTTTACTCATGACGATTTGATGAAGCTTAAACACTAATTTGGACAAGTCCATGATCGTTACGCATCTTTCGTCAAATTCTTTCCTTACAGTATAACTTTTTTTCAGCTGTTTTACCATTACACATCTCATTATTCATTAGCTAATCTTTATGGTTTTTTTTTGCTGTGTTCCAGTAGGACCTCTTTTTTGAAAGCTAGCCTTTTTTTCTGAAACGCTACCTCCTACCATGATATTTATATACATGTTTTATATACTTACAGTTAAATTTCCGATCGGATATAGCCTAAAATCAGTTTGAGCTTTTTTTAAGACTTGTTTGATAGTGGTTCACTCAATTTTGAGAGATATTATCAGAAATTCACATAATCTCATAGATGTAAGACCTGTTTGATGTTGGCTCACTCATTTGTACGAAAAAGTATTAGAAATTCACGTTATCTCATAGTTGTTTTGGTGCATGAATTTAATTCACTGTGACTTGTTAAAATTGTTTATACATTGTACATATGGATCTCGTGTTCGTTAATTGTGATTCTCAATATTGTCATAGTTTTACCTGATTAGTACGGGATCCCAATGTAGCTTCCTTGATGGGTCCAGGCGACAGCAGTTTCAATTGCATTAAGGTGTAGAGTTGAAAAGTCGCAGAAACTTTCTTATCGACTGTCACCGCTGAATTTCGTTACTTGATTTTTTGGAAGATTGGGAAAGAATTATGTGGAGCGATTCAACCGTGCGCCGGTTCTAAATTAGTTCTTTACATTTCTGTAGATCTAATGGGAACTAGAGATCTACATGTACCAACATAAATGACTGCTAGTTGCTTGAAGGCTTCTTT